GGGGGGGGGGGGGGGAACTTGTCGAATACACGGAGTTTTTAACAATCTAAAGCTTGAAATTTCTAGGGTTTATACTGTCCACCCCACGATCTTCACTTCCTAACCTCACTCAATCAATAATCTAAATTTTTTTCAAACCCGTAACCAAATTATGTTTCATTTAATTCCATATGCGCACAACTTTGTATTTTCATGCCACGTTCTATTCAGCTTTTTACAGAAGCAATACAAAATGCTCTATGCACTAAAAAAGTGTTATGTTAGAAACCAATTTTGAAAAAAAAATTAGACATTTACAATGAACTATTAGATACTACAGTTAGTTTTATATTCGACATTGTTTTAATCCATGACATAGACAAAAAAAAACATCAAGTGTCTATACAAAGTTAGCATACCTTTGCGCTCAAATTCTGAACGATAATCAGTTTTTTTCTCTGGTAAAGTAAGTCCAATAAATCAATAGCTAATAGGCATTTAATTTTCCCGGAAATTATCCAAATAAGTGAACAGTCCCTTTGAGTTACATTGTAAAAAGTTACTTGCGAAGTTATGCTAATTTAACTTAAACTATTCTATCTTAGAAGAATAAATATAAAGATGAATTTTAAGAGGAGTTGGAACAAATTTGATGAGATGGGTCAGGACGGATTTGAAGAGAGAAGATTGTGAGAGATTTGAAGAGAGAATGGGGTTGCTAAGATACGGTTGGGACGGATTAAAACTAAAAGCAAGGTTAAAACGGATTTAAAAGAAAGTTAGGACGGATTTGAAGAAATAAGTTTACGTAGGATTAGAATAGAGAAAATGATGTTAAAGAAACGTTAAAAAAATGTTAACTAATATCTAAATAAGAATCATTCAAGAGTGAATTGCACCACCTGTTGAAATACTGTAAAGTTTCTATTTGTATTTTACGCTAATGATAAAAGAGCCTTCATAGCTCAGTGGCAGAGCGCTGGTCTTGTAAACCAGAGGCCGAGAGTTCAATCCTCTCTGGAGGCATTTTTTTAATTATCAAGTCAAAAAGTCAAAAGCATTTCCGTTTACTAAACTTAACATATAATTTCGCGAATTTCCTTAGGACCACCCAACCCGATAAAACAGAAGTAAAAGTCGGGAAATTATTTTCGCAAAGATAATTTTGCATTAATAAGAGATTGTTCTTAGTTGGTAAAAACACAACAATCCAAGTAGATGCTGCGACCAAGGTTGCAATATCTACTTAGTGAATTTAAATTCAGACGTGAATTTAAATTCAGACGGGTCCATTCTTCGGATCTGGGGATTGCAGATTCGAGTACTGTCGCCCTCGTTCAAATATTTTTACCTTTAGTAAAACTGTCGTGATTGATAATAACTTAAAGCTGAGAAGAGGTGTGTGTCATCATAAAACATGCATTCTAAGAAACAATTAATTATCTCAGAAATTCCGAAACAATTGTCAGATTTTCTTTCGCTCAATGAAGAACGTATAGGTTTGAAGAATTAATTAGAAAATGCAATTTCTCCAAATAACTCTAATAATGAATATTAAAGGTAAGAGTGAGTGGAAATTTAACAAGCAGGCCGATAATGTTGGGACGTACAGGGTTACCCACAAAATGTGAGACTTAAGAAATGACTAAATTGTGGACTAAAATTAGTTTCCTTCTTTGCTGAAGTCCATTAAAATACTAAATTTAAAGCAGAAACCCAAAATCAAGATCGATTCTTGAAAATTTATAAATTTCGGGTTTTGACAATCTTATCCTATGTGGGTAAACAATATTATAAATTACACAAGAGAAGGATGGATCGGGTTTAAAAGATAAGGCAAGGACTGATATTAATAGTAGGATGGGACTGATAAATAAGAGAAGGATGGATCGGGTTTAAAAGATAAGGCAAGGACTGATATTAATAGTAGGATGGGACTGATAAATAAGAGAAGGATGGATCGGGTTTAAAAGATAAGGCAAGGACTGATATTAATAGTAGGATGGGATTGATAAATAAGAGAAGGATGGATCGGGTTTAAAAGATGAGGATGAGACGTACTTAAGGATAAGGATGGTTTTGTATTAAAAAGATAAAGATGGGACGGATTTAAAGGATAAGGATGGGACGTATTAAAAGATTGGGGATAAGACAGATTTATAGGATTTGGATGGGGCGGATTTAAAGGATAAGGATGAGACGGATTTAAAAGATAAGAATAGGAGGGATTAAAAGAAATGGATGGGACGTATTAAAAAAAAATAAAAATGGGACGGATTTTAAAGATAAGGATGGGATGGATTTAAAGGAAATGGAGAGGACGGATTTCAAAGATAAGGATGGGACGGATTTTAAATATAAGGATGAGATGTATTTATAGCATGGTACGGATCAGAAGGAAAAGGATGGGACGGATTTAAAGGATAAGGATGGGACGGATTAAAGTATAGGGGATGAGACAGATTTAAAGGATTAGGATGGGACGGATAAGGATGGGACAGATTTAAAAGATAAGGATTAGACGAATTTAAAGGATAAAGATGAGACGGATTATAAAGATAAGAATAGGAGGGATTAAAAGATAAGGGTGGGACGTATTTAAAAGATAAAAATGGGACGGGTTTACAAGATATGGATGGGCCGGATTTAAAGGATAAGGATGGGACGGACTCAAAAGATAAGGATGAGATGTATTTAAGGATAAGGATGGTACGCATTAAAAGGACAAGGATTGGAGGTATTTAAAATAAGGAGAGGACGGATTTAAATGATAAGGATGGGACGGATTTAAAGGATAAGAATGGGACGGATTTAAAGGATAAGGATGGGACGGATTTAAAGGATAAGGATAGGATGTATTTAAGGGATAAGGATGGGACGGAGTTAAAAGATAAAGTTGGGATGGAATTAAAAGAGAATGGTGGGATGGATTTAGAGAATAAGGATGAGAGGGATTTAAAAGACAAGGATGAGACGGATTTAAAAGATAAGGTTGGGATGGATTTAAAAGAGAATGATGGGACGGATTTAAAAGATAAGGATGAGACAGAATTAAAAGATAAGGATAGGATGTATTTAAGGATAAGAATGTGACTTATTTAAAACATTTTTAATATACTTACAGTGTCTCCATTATCTGAACTCCAGCCTTATGAATTTTGGATGGAATATCTGAAGTTCGTAGATATTTAACCTCTCCGGTTTTCTCCACTCAGTTTTGGTGAAGGGTTTGTAGAGCCTAAATAAAAAAAAATTAAGCATGCATTCAAGAAATTCAAAAAAAAAGTTTCCCCCATGAATTTTCTTGATGCCCAATTCACAATGGTACTCTTTAATCCGTGTTTAGTTCAATAATATAGAATATATTGTCGTTTCTCATTCTTAATTAGCGAATAATTCTGATAATTTTATCCTTTATATCTTCAGCAGAAATGCGCAAGCAACATTTTTAGAAAATTCGCATTTGGAACAATTCTAATACTTCAAATAGAAAACTTCACATTCAGCCATGATCTTAATCAAACTTTCCTTAAACCCAATATTATTCTGAACTGACTAATCTCTCCTGTATAGAATATATATGTCCTTTAAACCTGATATTATTCTGAACTGACGTACGTTCCTGAATGCACAAATCAAGAAAAAACACATATTTTCCTAAGAAATGTTAATGTTAAAAAAATGTGACTATAGAAAATAAATGTCACATTTTTTTAACATTAACATTTCTTAGGAAAATATGTGTTTTTTCTTGATTTGTGCATTCAGGAACGTACGTCAGTTCAGANTGTGTACGCGCCTGTGTGCATTTTAATTTTTTTATTTGAGTTAAAGTTTCTACTGGGGTTTGAACTAGCATTTTAGTCAAGATTGATTTTATTGTAATATTTTTGTTGTGTATGTTAAGTTGTTGAGATGAGAACCAAGAAGTTGCGACCAAGTTTGCAATATCTTGTGTGCAACATATATAATTAAAACTGGGCGGATTTAAAGATAAGAGAAGGGGTTTATATTCTCTAGAAAATAATCTCTTCCCTTAAATATATTTTTCCTGGATGTTAGGAATGAACAGATAATGTTGCGACCACGTTTGCAATTATAAAAAACATATTTGTTAAAAAGAAACTTCTTACACTTAACATGTAGGGTGTGTGGCCTAATGGATAAGGCACCAGACTTCGGATCTGGGGATTGCAGGTTCGAGTCCTGTCACGCTCGTTCAAACCTTTTATACTTTCAAAATGGCCTTGTTGCCTTATCTCGTGCATGCTCAATCGGCAACCTAAAATATGTTGATGGTAAAAATGTTATAATAATATTTAATGATTTATTTTATCCTGTAATCTCATTAGTGGCATGTCAGATGCAGAAAAGAACACGATAAACCTCTATCTGAGTAACAAGGCACAAGATATTGGTGATTTTCTATCTAAAGAAGTTTTGATTTTTTAATTTTGTTTATATCTGTTTTTGTTTCTGAAGAATGAATGTGCAATTGAAAATATAAATTTTCATATAAAGAAATGAGAATCTTATTCATCCTTCAGACAGAGGTTTAACGGTACCCGTGTGAATCTTCAAAACCCGTGGGTTACTTGAAATTACCTTTAAGGTCACTTGACGTTTAAAAAATACTTGGAAAGGAGAATCTTAGTGAATTCTTAATTTGTCAGTCGGAACCTAACAAGGAAAAACATGTACTTAAGAACCAGTTTTAATATTATTCACTGAAAATTTGTTCTAAATTTCCCTCAGTAATACTTTAGCGGAAATAATTCTTCTGAAGGGGAGGGGGTGATTTTTAGACAAAATATACAGTTCACTTCTGCTAAAAATCGTTAGAAAAAGAATTAAGAGTTATCGTGAAAAATGTTGATAGATTAGAAACAATAAAACCTCGTACCAGTCCCAAGCCGGCATTGAAATATGATGATCATTGACGGACCTAAATTTCAATTAAAAGTTTATCACAATTTTGACATTAAGTCTTCTCCACCAGTACGGACGCAAAGTGGGAATATGATGGACAGATACACGGCCCAGTGAACATAGATAGATACTAATCCCAGTTTGTGAGTTAAGTATGATGATAGATAGATACAGACAGATGATAGATAGATAAAAACAGGTCTCCTCTCACTTCAAATATTAAAACTTAGTGCAAATTTCGTGACAATAATTTAAGAATTTAACAACTTTATTCAAAGCTCCTACAGGGTGTCCCAAATCAATATTATTGGATCGTGATAAAAAGAATTAACCATTTTAAAAAACTGAGAAAACTGAACTTAAAATTGGCATGCAAAAACTCAAGGTTTTAAAGTATTCTTTGTGTATTTTGGCGTTAAAGCTTGGAGATAATCCAATATGAAATGAGATAATCCAAACAATAGTAAAAAGTTTAGGAAGTAAGGAGATCATAAAGATAATTGAAATAAATATTGCAACTCGAAAAACTCATTACAGTCTTTTGAAGATTTAAAAAATGTTTTTTTTCAATGATTATGACTAAAATAATAAAATTTAAAATTTTTTTATGTCTTTTACGTAAAAACATACCCAAACATCCCTTGGTAAAGTAAGATGTCCGTAATAATTATTAAGAGATATAATTAATGATGTTACCTATTTAATTTGTAGTCTGCAAAGACAATAGGCCCACCAACAGACGTTTAAGTAGTCCACATTGACCCTATAAATCAATCGGCCGACAGACATTTATGTAGTCCGCCTATACCCACTGGATGCATCGGCCGACAGAGATTTATGTAGTCCGCCTATACCCACTAGATGCATCGGCCGACAGAGATTTATTTAGTCCGCATAGACCCTCCAGATACATCGACCGGCAGCCGTTTCATGTTCTCATGGTTTCAGCGTTCAGGAGGCAGGCCAGGGAGATTCGTCAAACATCTATCCTAGGGTTAACAAGTATAGTGGTATTGTTCAGAATTAACACTGCCTCCCCCCCCCCCCTCTCACCAAGGGTTGGTGGAATAATCTTCAATGATTTTGAAAATGCAAAATTTAAATTTAATAGGAAAGATCCCTCCCTTTGCAATATGTTAACACAATCATATTTAATCTCTTAATACAACGCTAAATAAAAAAAAACATTCCCAAAAAAGAGGGGGGAAAAAAAATTTACGTTGGAGGGCGGAGTAATACTTAATACAAAATATTAACCCCTTGAAAAAAATGTTAGTTTTTCGGCTATTGCTTTTCAGTTTTCAGATATTAAGACTTAATTAAATCAAATCTTAAGTCTTTAATAGACTGTAGATTTAAGTAACCCTCCATTTACAAAGTGGCATATTCGGTTCACAACCAATTAAACCTTTAAATTTTTAGTCTGTTCAAGAATAAAGAGAAATTCATGTTGAACTCTTTATAAAATCATTTTTTAAAGTGTATAGTTTCTCTGTACAAGTGAAGTGAACATCTCTGTCGAGTATACAGTCCCTTCACCCTCCCCCCCCCCATTTATAGAGAGTCATGTCCGATTTACAATGGTACCTTTAAACCATTGTTTTGTCAAAAAAATTATAATCCCTCTTTTTCTATGTTGTAATTGATGATTTTCTATTGCGGTTCTACAGAAAAAATTATTTGCGGATTTTTGGAGTAAAATGGATAAATGATGATTGTCGAAACTCGAAATTCAACATTTTTTAAGCAGAAAACAACAATATCTTTCTCATTAATGTCGCAAAAAGAAAAGTTTAAATTTGACCGTTGTAAATTGGACCTCTAATTGGGTCGCATGAAATATAACCTTGATAAGGTTCTTTATTTTAAACCAGAGACTTTTATATAAACGGATTTTTCCAAATTCTGTAAGATTTATTACCTTTTCAAAAAGTGTTATTACCCACGGGGGGACTCGAACCCCCAATCTTCGGTTTAGGAGACCGACGCCTTATCCATTGGGCCACGCGGGCAGATATTAATACTTGCATTTTACAAGATGGAAGCCAACTTGGTAACTAATTACCTCCACTCAGCATTCCGGACACACGTTCTGCATCTGGGTTCCATTAACTCATTCTAATAATTAGATAAAATGAAATTTTAGACAAATTAAATTAGATTTGTAAGAAGTATCATAAGTTTTTCCCCTTTTCTCATGACTGGATTTATTCTTCAAAAAATATAACCCCTCTACGGAAAAAATTAAGAAGTACAAGAACTTTGGAGAATGGAGACTTAAGTTGTCTAATATTATCAGGAATAGATTTAAAGAAAAACAACTTTCGGGACAAAACGAGCTCCTGCATCTGAAAGGTTAATCTGCTACTGCTGTTATACTTTGTAGTTGCAGGCAAAATAAATGAAATTTGAAAAAAGTATCAAAAGTTTTTTCCCCTTATCTCATGATGAGATTAACTCTTCAAAAAATATAACCCCTCTATAACCCCTCGGAGACTCGAGTTGTCTACTTTATCAGGACAGCTCGAAAACTAGATTTAAAGCAAAATATCTTTCTCGAGAAAACGACCTCTTGCATCTAAAAGGTTAATCTGCTATTATACTTTGTGAGATCGGCAAAGATAACGGTAATATTCAACCTTCATTTGTCTGAGTAAAAATGATGACTTATCTTCTTGTTTCTATGAAATTGAATATGGATTATTTTTAGATGTGGTTTCTCTAAGAAGTGACTAACAAATTTAAGCAGCAGAAACGATTAAGGAAATATCCAGAATTTATCTCTTATGTAAGATGAAAACAACAATATATTCTCATTGTTACCCATACAACAGTCTGTAGGGTGCCCTTGTGAATAAGACATACTATATTCTTCAGATGGAGGTTTTAACAGTTAAATATCAAAGAAACCATCTTCAAAAAGCACAAAACTATATTTATATTCATGTTACTGATAAATGATGTTATTTTTGAAATGAAACTATGTTTAAGTAGTGAAAAATTGTGATCATAGTTCTAGTTCAATATGATCAGAGCTGGGAAATCTTTTATTGTGAAATCGAGATCAATGCTTGATCTAAATCTTTTGTTAATCTGCAGATTTATTTAATCTTTAATAGATATCCTCAAATAAATGTATCCTGAAAGGATAACTTAAATCAAGAAATTTAGCTTTGATCCCCTAACTAAAAGTGTCTACAGTGGACGTCGAGATCAAGCGATGAGTATCTAATACAAAAGTTCCGGACTTAGATATAACCATAGGTATAATTTACCCCTCCCCACTCTTAAGTTTGATATTTTCCTTCAAATAATAGGTTTATTTGCAAAATTGGGGAAAATAAAGGATTTTAGGTAACAATTGAATGATTCCAGGGTAATATGTATGTCATTATAGGGTTTCAAAATCCCATTTATTCAATTTTCCAATAGACCATCTAACCATTTCCCCACCCCTCCAGGAGTTCAAGGGGAGGGGTAATACTAGAAAATATATACCTCGGCAAGTATCATAAGTAATAATTACCTTAATTACTTATATACTTTTTCTTCAAGGTTTGTAAATGCAACCCTCTTCCAAAACTCTTAACTCTAAAAAATAGAACATTATGAATAAAACATAAAAATGAGAAAATTCTAAACAAAGTACTCATTTTTTTGTTAAGAATTCATCATTTCAAAATAAAGGGAGGCGGCAGGATATTAATAGCATTCAAAACTAGTTTTTTAAGGCAATAATGTTTTTAAGTAGACAAGTTTTCCTTCCCTTCTTGTACTTGCTTCGGCAGTACATATACTAAAATTGGAACGATACAGAGAAGATTAGCATGGCCCCTGCGCAAGGATGACACGCAAAATCGTGAAGCGTTCCACATTTTTCGTGTCCGCATCGAAAAACTTTAGAAAATTACAAGAATTAGAAATTTCCGTTTTTATACTTTTTGAACAATTAAAACAATTAAAGGTAAAACTGGATGTGTTGGGGGTAGCGGGTTAGGGGGGGAGCGGTAGAATTATTACAACCCCTCTTTACAAACCGGGAGGACCGGGAGTAAGAAGGGGCGGGACGGTAGAGCCAGGCCAAGTACGGGTCCCTGAGTCAGACATCACTATTTAATGATCAATTTGTGGCAAAGTTTTAACAGATATAATAGAATAGACATTGTAGGTTAATTTACACCGGAATATAGAGCAGGAAGAAATCAACAATAATTGCTGGAAATAATTAATATAATGCAAAATTCAGTCAAACAAAATACTCCTTAACCTTAAAATAGCTCATATATCCCTTTAAAGTCTTGTCAATTACGCATCCCCTTTGCCAGCTGTAGTCTAAATTCGACGATTATTTATCTCATTTGATCTTTCTTTTGTTCTTTATAACACCATCAGTCCTATTCAGGTGGTCCCCAAATTCTCTGATATATGACTAAATGGTGTCCACAGCATCCCCCATCTCCTGTTGTCTCATTTTGCCCCCCCCCCCCTCCCCATCAGCCACTTTCAACGGTTTTCCGAAAGGCCTGCCCCCCTCTCTCTCGAGACTCCTGAAAATCAAAGAAAAAATTTCAACCCCTGTAGAAGTTTTATTTAACGATTTACATTGAATACTTCGGTTAATAGAATGTATGTAATAAAAAAATTAGAATACATATATTTATCAATTTTGTTTGCTTCATAAACCCATCAATAAGCATGTATACAAAATTAAAGGAAGGGAGGGGGGCGGGAGGCATTCAAAAATCCAATACTAAGACTGAACAACATTTTATTTAGAGAACGAAAAATAACTATCAGTTTCCAAAGTTAATGAAATTTATAATATCCTACCTGACTTAAACCTAATTATCATTGCAGGAGGGAATTAACCGGCTTCAAAAGTTCATTTCCACATCGTAGTAACTGCGACTGGTGACATATTAAATCTTGTGACTTTACCAGATTTAGCTTGCAGATTTAGAGGGGAAAAAATAGAATAGTAGATGCAGGCAAGGAGGAATTAAAAACATAGCAATTTTAACAGCTATATAATGTTCACTTTTTAACGTTACTTACATGAGTTAGAGTAATAAGTATAGATGCGGCCAAATTCAGAATTCAGACACTGATTGAAAACCGGTTTAGACAAATGTAACTAGCGGACTATTGTACGCAATGTACTCTACGTATTCTATTCTCTGTACGGAGCAGTTAAGGGACAAATTATTATCAATAAGCCACGCGATGAAACTTTCCATTTATAACTTAGTTTTAAAAATACCTTAATATCAGGCGGTTTAGATTGTTTAACTGTGTGGCGTGCATGAATTGATTACATGAGACGGATTTGAAATGTACACAACGTATACAAAACTCTCAGGGGCACAACACTTTTAAGATACTTGGGGGGGGGGGAATCTTTAAATTGTTTTCGGTAAAATTATTAATCCTCGTTATATATCCATTAAATTGTCGAAACTCTGAAAAAAATTATTGCGACCTAATTTGATATATCATAATTGTAAAATTTTAATTTGTTAAAAGTCTCCTCTCTTGCATAGGGTGTGTGGCCTAATGAATAAGGCACCAGACTTTGGATCTGGGGATTGCAGGTTCGAGTCCTGTCACGCTCGAAGTTTTTATTTTTTTGTAAATGATACAATTTTTATCGATGTATTTTTTAGTAGTAATCTCTGTTTTTCTGATCAGTTAAACCCTTGGGCCGATTTGCCTCAATTTTTTTTTGGGGGGGGGGGGGAGCTCTGTGGAATCACGGGAATGGGCTTATCCTGGTTTAAAATAAGTTAGGTGGTTAGACTTTTGTTGGGAAAACTCAAGTTGAACTAGGTTTAAACATAGTTTTGAAAAAAACTTAGTTCAACTTTTAAAACTGTTCTGAAATATGTTGTAAAAATTGGTAAAAGAGTTTGGTCTGACTATATTGGAAGGGCTACGTATAATTAACCACTCACTAGTGCGAACCCACTACTGACTGACACGGGAACTCTTGGCTGCTGGGTTTCCCCTCTGGCCCTTTTCGCCCCTCTTTAGACAACCTGATACCCTCGAATTCCTTCATTGGGGCCATGTTGATGCCAGCCTTAGTGCGGACACCAATTCAACATGTATTGAGAACACGTAGAACCCCCCCTCCTCAAACCATCCCATACACTGGCCTCCTCCCCGAAGCCTATAGATGTAAATAGCCCCAAAATCAAAATTTGGGTTATATGTCATTTTTTCCGTGCGTCTGTGCGCCTTCCAAAATTAAATAAAACAAGTTCAATTCCAGTCACATCTTTCAGCTTTGTTAAAAAGTTTGATTTCAATTGAAAAATATCATTTTATTTAGCAAAAACGTAAATTCTTGCGCTAAAAAAATTATTGCGACCTAATTTGATATATCATAATTGTAAAATTTTAATTTGTTAAAAGTCTCCTCTCTTGCATAGGGTGTGTGGCCTAATGAATAAGGCACCAGACTTTGGATCTGGGGATTGCAGGTTCGAGTCCTGTCACGCTCGAAGTTTTTATTTTTTTGTAAATGATACAATTTTTATCGATGTATTTTTTAGTAGTAATCTCTGTTTTTCTGATCAGTTAAACCCTTGGGCCGATTTGCCTCAATTTTTTTTTGGGGGGGGGGGGGAGCTCTGTGGAATCACGGGAATGGGCTTATCCTGGTTTAAAATAAGTTAGGTGGTTAGACTTTTGTTGGGAAAACTCAAGTTGAACTAGGTTTAAACATAGTTTTGAAAAAAACTTAGTTCAACTTTTAAAACTGTTCTGAAATATGTTGTAAAAATTGGTAAAAGAGTTTGGTCTGACTATATTGGAAGGGCTACGTATAATTAACCACTCACTAGTGCGAACCCACTACTGACTGACACGGGAACTCTTGGCTGCTGGGTTTCCCCTCTGGCCCTTTTCGCCCCTCTTTAGACAACCTGATACCCTCGAATTCCTTCATTGGGGCCATGTTGATGCCAGCCTTAGTGCGGACACCAATTCAACATGTATTGAGAACACGTAGAACCCCCCCTCCTCAAACCATCCCATACACTGGCCTCCTCCCCGAAGCCTATAGATGTAAATAGCCCCAAAATCAAAATTTGGGTTATATGTCATTTTTTCCGTGCGTCTGTGCGCCTTCCAAAATTAAATAAAACAAGTTCA